TTTTTACTAGATGTGTATGAATTAATGTAATTTACTTATATAGATGAAGCAAAATTTGGGGGTTTATAATTTGGGGGCTATTTCAAATTCAACCTTGAAAATATCATTTTGCATTTAGTTTTAAATTATTTCTGACTTTTAACAGTGATAGTTCTTGAACTAATTTTTATTCTTAATATTCTCTCTTTGGGATAATCAAAACTATCTGTGTATTTATATATCATTTATCTCATACATATTACTATCACAAATATACATTTGCTCTTACCTATCTAATGTCCATGCTGACCTTTACTGATTACATTTGATAACACAAATGTTATTCTAAAATTTGAGTCTTAGTTTTAACAATTACTTTCAGATTATCCAGTAATACTAAATCACATTTCCATCACTTACCTCTTGGTATGTGTAATATTTTGTCCTCTTCATTGTGTTTCACCAAATCTTCAACCCAGATATCAGGACCATCTTTATTATTCAGAATCATAATTATTCTAGCTATTTCAGGTAAAATTTTCCATTGTGCCAGGATGAGTAGATGTAGTGAAATTAGATTCATGGTGTTAGAATTATTGCTTTGCTAGATTTATTGTTTTAAATGTATGGCCTTGTTTATCACATTTACATTAGTGATTATTTTTAGTAGGCTTGACTTACAGAAATTTTTACTGACTTGAAATCCTGTATGTATTATAAATAAAAGTTGTTTCACATGTACACTTCATGTTCAGATAGTGGTGGAATATAATGTTAATGTAATTGTTCTTGACATTATTGAAATTTGTGCAGGTTCAGGGAGAAATAGAAGAGACAGCACAGTGGTTTAATAAAAAAGCTCTTGGAGACAATAACAGTTGAGAGTCAATTTAAGAATCATTTGTGAACAATTGAGACTGAAGAAAATTTATTTGAAGATGGAGTTTAAAAACAAGTTTTAAAAATGTATTTTATTTTGCCATCTTCACATAATGATAAAAAAGTTATAGTACCCTAACAAGAAAATGATATGTATTTTTAAAATTTAAATAATAATAATATGTTTTGAGTAGAACAAGCAGAGTTTGCATTGTTTCATAAAGGTTATCTTCCTGCCTTATTTATGTGGTGTGCTTCTAGACATAATTTGTGAAAGTAACAATGCTCCCCCAAAATATTGCCATATAGAATCATTCTGCAACCCATGACATATTTTTTGCTGATTGACAGTGTGTGACTGTATATTATTAGTGTTTTTCTTCACTTAGTCATTTTTACTTAGTGACTTAATTGACCATTCATATAATTTTTGCTTCAGTTGCTGACCCCCTTTTGACCAGTTGAAGATTATATTATAGATAGTTACTTATATTTTAAGTTGTAAGTTTAAAAGAGGCTGAATGATTATAAATGAAAATAATTAATGAACATTTATTGTTTGAAGGGTTTTCTTTCAAATGTTCACTCTTTTTAGGAAACAGTGTATAAAAAAGAGACTAATGATCTTTCTTTTCATTAAGATATAAATTTGGGATTTTGAAGGAATTCTCTACATAGTATGAAATTTTTGTAATTTTTCCATTTATAAATATGAATGCATATTATTTTTCTCCTGTCTCCACTCCCTCCATTAAAACCATGAGCTGAGTTATATTGATTATGATCTTTTCTCACTTTTGAAAATGTGCTGTGGGGTGGTAATAATATACCTTTAGCATCTGGTAAATCTGGATTTGAATCCTCAATTCTACTTTATGAACATTGGTAAGTTGCTTACAACCATGATTCTTATTTTCCTCTTCTTTGAAGTGATGATTATACCACTTTACTAAGATGGGTTAAAAATGAGATGAGGAAAGCAAAGTGCCTGACATCATAGCTTAATTCTTTCCTGTCTCCTCCAGCTCTTAGGCTGTTCTATGACTATCCAAGGAAGTAACTAGCAAGCGAGTAATTAACTTGCCTATTTGAAGGCTGTTTTCAAATACGATTGTTCAAGGAGTTACTGGGGAGCACAATCTTTAAACAACAGTTTGTCAGAAAATAACCTGGGCATTGTATATATAGTTTTCCTTTGTTTTGTAGTCCTCTAGTCAAAAAAAAATGTTCAGCTAGGCTTAGAACCCCATATTCACATCGGTATAGTAAAGGAACAAGGATTAATTCTTTCATGTTAGGACAAAAATCACTAGAATGACTTGGTTTGGAAAAGTAAATCCTTATTTAAGCAATATTATTATAAACTTAGCATGCATTGGTATCACCTGAGTAATGTGTTAGCAATTCATATTTGGGGTATTATCTCAGAGATTCTAATTCAGTAAATCTAGTATTTTTTCATGGCACTTAAGGTAATCTCAACCTCTTAATAATAACTTCAAGGATATGATGGATGATAAAAGCTTAAACAAATAAATGGGGGGGGGGAACACCCATTTGCTTTATCCATGTTGTCTTAAAACTATTTTCTCCATTAATCCAGATGAATTCAGTAAATATAAGTCTACTTCTATCTTATAATAAAATCTAATGGTTTGCCATGGAAAACCTTTAAAAATGACCCATCACTACTCTGGTATTTGTTTTTAAAATTTCAAGTTTCTTCTCCATTGCAGTAAAATGAAGCACCATTACTGATTGTCATTACTGATTGTAGTTAAATCAGAATTTTGAAAGTATTGTTCCTTGGCTGCTCTCTTTTTAGGGACAGCTATGGCAAGTTGAGGAGGTAAATGGGGTAGAAGAAGTTTTTGCTACAAGACCAATTCATCCTCTGATTTTTTGCTACAAAACAAACTCATCAGGATCTTGAGATTTTTTTTTTAACACATTAAGAGATTGTTAAACTACTACCCCTATGATAAACTGTTAAGAACTATATTATTATATCTGCTTTGGAGATTTCTCAGTTTCTCTCTGAGACCAAATTTCTGCCAGTTCTATTATCTCTCCCTTAACTTGCTGTCATTTACTCATAATATCTGATTTTCTTTCTACCAGCTTTCTCACAGTTCACACCAGGTATCTGTTTTCATGCTTTCTGTTTCTTTATTTATTTTGAATCTTTACTTTAAGAGATAATATTGTCTTCCAGTCAGGAGCATTTGAAAACAAATGTATTTTTACTTTTATAAATAGAGGTTTTATTTTAGAAAGTATTTTTGTAAAAAGATTTTACTGTTTCTAAGCAGTTTATGTAATCAGATCTGAGTTCAAATTGGGTTATGTCATTTGTCTTGAGTGTTAAATTTGGAATAGTTTTCTTTGCTTCCAAAAATATAATTTATGTTAAAAATTAGTATGTTTTTCTAGAACTTGAAAGAGGGAGTAGGAATAGAGACTTGACAAAAATGAAAAGATTAGTAAAATATTTGCATGTTAACACAGGTTTTAGCATCTATGCATTAGTTTGGATAAGTTATATTTCATTTGTATTGGAAAGAAAATAGAGAAATTTGTTTTCTATTATGACAGTTTTTTAAAATTTTGTTTCAAAAAGAATCTTGCCAAAACAAAAGAAGAAAAAACATACAGTCTTCCCTATCAACTCTGAATCAAACACGTGTTTAGTTGAATGTGTGTTCAACATGTGTATGTGTTCAACCTTGTGTTATGGATCTTTTTTACATCTACCCACACAATCTCAATTTAGACGGTTTTTAGTTTCTCTCCCTGTGCTTCTTGAATTTTTGTCTGCACCTTGGGGACTACCTACATCCACATTTGGGAGTCACTGTTCTACATATTTATAAATGATCTTCTATATTGAGATATGTGACTTGCTATAGAATTTTAGCGTGAGAGACCAGAAAGAGTTCATTTAGCTCATGTATTATACAAACTGAAGGAACTGAGTTAAAGTAGAGATTATTAAACAACATGTCAAACTTTTTTTTTTCTTTTATTCTATTCACTATCTTGGATGTTGTCAGCACTAATCAGAGAGAGAAAGCTTTCAGTTTAATGAAAGACTAATAGCCTGTGAAGTTTGAGAATGGTTAAAGTACATCAGTGATTAGCCCACTGTTCATGGGTGAGGACTCAATTTCTTTGAGATTAATGTGTCTTCATAGGGTTGATATGAAGACAAAATGAGAAGGTTTGTGTGGTTTGGAAACCTCAAAACACAGCAAAACTTTATTGTTTACTGCAGCTGTTGCTGTTTTTGTAATCACACTGGGTCAAACTCTCCATTTTTCAACTCCAAACACAGGTAAACAGATTTTAGTTATTTAAATGATTGAGCAATAGATAGGAATGGAGACATCAATGGGAAGGGCAGGTACTTTGGAGGAAATGGGAAATTATCAAATGGTGAAAAAGATAGTTTAGAATTAAAATTTTAGACACAAACTAACACAATTGCAAAGGGATAAAGATTCCAGACACCATCTATTCTAGCAGGTGTTTACCATTCCCCCCTCCCTCTTCCATGGCACAATAAACATGAAGCAAATAACCCAATATCTTTTTTTTTCTTTTCTTTTTAAAGACCCTTTTAATTTCAAATATGAGAAGTCTTAAAATTTTAGTTATTTGCCTTTAACTGTAGCTTAGGAACTTGGATGCTCAGAGCTGTCATCCCAAATTGATTTATTTATAGTTGCTTACTTTAGGTGAAATTAAATGTTTAAGAAAGTGGTTTGTTTCAGGAAATAAAAGCATACATTTGTAAGGCTCCTTGGAACCTTAAAATTTCTAAGTCATTTATCAATTTGAAACTGTCTGAAAATAGACTTGAAGTGCTTATTTACACAAACTAATTCTTTCTTTTGGATCTTTGCAAGGACAACTTCTAATGAACAACTTGGCAGATGACATTTTGATTTACATAATAAATAAAATTTTGCATTTGATTTCAGTCCCACAAATAAGAGATTTGTAGCCCTCTATAAATTTTGTGCAAAGCCAAATCTCAGCATAGGGGATTAAGAATGCTCAAAACAATACAATGTAAGGAAGTTAGATATTGGAAAAAAATAAAGCTTAATTTGGGCTTAGAATGACAAAATTTTGACTAACAAATAATTTATGCAAAATATATTACAAAATCTGATATGCTAAATATCAGGGGTTTCACATTTAGTTACATTTAAATTAATAGTAGTTTATTTCTTCAAACCTTTACATCCCTTTTTTCTTTGATTTTGTGTATTTGCAAAAAAAAATTTTGCGCTACAATTTTAAGTTTATTTTTCTTGAAGTTGCTCTTCAATTTGTTGTGATAACCTGCATAAAACTAGATTTTGTAGATATGATTTCTTTGGAAAAGATAAAAAATTAAGTTTGACATTGATGCTTCTAATTATTTTCTTTGTTGCTTTGATTGTATTTGACCCCTGTTACACTGACATATATTCAATCTATTTTTGACATCATAAATATAAAATTACAATATAAAAAAGCATTTGTTCTAGTGCAACAGTAATTGAAACTTGCAGTTTTATATTTTTTTAAAAAATACTCAAACACCAAAAAGAATGTGTGATTTTCATAGTAACAATGTTGTCAAACAATAATCTGTGTCAGGTAAACAACAGAAACAAGTTGATCATTCCAGCCTCTGAAATGTCAGGTTTTCTTAATTTGATTTGTATTTATAACACAGTTGCATAATCAATATAGGACCTGGGTTGATATTCAATTACTCCCAGTTATTTTTCAGATAATTTGGAGGTGAATTCCATTATGGAGGACAATGTAAACAATTTGGAACATAATATGGATGTTTATAATCTAATTGAGTGATACATTTCTCCACCATGGCTCACTTCTATATTGAATGAATTATAGATGTTTAAAGTTGTCCCTCAGGAGCAGTGGATGTAGCACACAATGACAAAAATTTCATATTTTTCCTTTGAGAAGTTCCCAAAATAGTCTCAGAGTTCTAAATGAAAAGTTGTCTTAAGAACCAGGCACATTTTGCACTGACTTGATGGTTATTTTTAGGTAAACCGCTTTGGGTTAATTAGAAGAAAAATTGCTACTGTACAGTTATTATGCTCTATTCCTCCCACCTTGGCCTGAAAATAATGAGATGTAACAAAAGTTTTTCTTTGTCACTGGCAGCTGCACCTTTTAAGTGTATCAAAGTCTGTTGCTGTGGTTACGGCCTTTGTTTCCCAGTGATGTCTTGTCCATACTTCTCCCCCCAACCCTTAACAATGGTTACTCAAAAGAATGAAATAATGAGTCATTCATTCGGAAATATGTTGTTAAAATATCCCTCTTTATCATTACATTTCACTGCTTAGAAACTAGGCTGTAATTCAAGGCAACAGTTAAATCTGAGAAGAACTGTTAAAAAAATCTTTTGATTTTTTTTTCATTTATAAGAAAAACCTGTCTATGTAATTGAAGAACCTCTTACAAGTCTGAACAATTAAATCCTTTTTGGTTAATGTATTATTTCTGGAACAAGTAGATAAAATTCTACGCAGTAAGCATGATAAAAATCGTGCATATTTTGCACAGCACAGAATTTTAGAGTCAAGGTTTCTGGGCACAAAAGCAGTAACAAAACAGTCCCTACAAAACTGAGTAACTTTGAATAACACAAGAAATAATTTTTGTTAATTTAAAATTTTAGAAACTGAAATGTGTAAAGTTTGTAAAGTAAAATGTAATTAAATTATGGTACTGTACATACCAGTTGTTTCTATAATTGAAACTTTACAATATGAAAAATACATTAGCTCTGTACAGTTTTTACACGTAGGTAGGATGAGTTTTGAAAAATCGATTCTTTTTTTTTTCAGGGTCATACTCTTTAAGTCAAAAAAATACTGCACAACTTAGCTAATTACAAAGTGTAGACTTGAAACAATTCATGTCTTCTTTATTTCATGAATCAATCTTGATTTTTGTTTTATTTGAACAGGGGATTTTTGTTTTGTTTTGTTTTTCAGAGTCACAATGAACAGATCTTCCTCATTTTGTCCTTGAGGTTACAAAGTTTGGTAGCAACCCTTGGCCACTAGTCAGCTCAGTTAAGCCAGTGGCTGTTTATGGTCACTGATTCGGCCAGCTGTTGTGATTGTGCTCAGGTCCAGCTCAGTCTCTAGGTGTGTTTCCATCGTATCTTCCTGTGCATTCGTTTCAAAGGATTTATGAGAGAGAAGCTCATGATGCACCCCACAATAACTTATTGTGGGCTGGTCGTATGCCAGAAAGGTTGACACATTCATAGATAAAGGTATCTGGGGAAAAATGACATGAGAAAAGTCAGTTATAAAGAGACAGACAACGTGAGGGGCAAGATATGGAGACTCAAGTGCTGACTTGACTAACCTCTACAGTTACACCTGTGGCTCTAGTGTCCCTGCACTATCCTGCCTAATGCTCCTCCCTCTCATATTTTGAGCTCACAGAAACAGCTTTAATGTCTGGGTAAAGCTGTTCAGTGTTATCTGAATGTCCTACTGAAGAACATTCAGATAAATAAATAGCAGTATAAGTAGATATAAAAATGAATTAAAAAGCTCCTGCATCAGAGAAGTAAAAAAAAAAAAAAAAATGCTTCCCCTACTTGGGGTAAATCTGTGGTTTTGGAACTAAGAAAGCTATTATTTGGTTACCTCTGATATTAGGATGCAGACAAACAAACAAAACAAAACAAACGAACAAAAAACAGTGACTCTCAAACTTTAGCATGCATGAACATCACCTCCCTCTTCTTCAATTACCTATTCCATTGTCCCCAAAAGGTTTGGGATAGGGCATTTTCATACAAGTTACCATATGAAATGGGTGCTGTTAATCCACATACTACACTTTGAGAACCATTGCAGAGGAGAATTTTCTAGTTAAGTCATTCTGGCTATTCTTATCCATAACTTTCATCACAAAGATTCCTTGAAACATTAATGCTATACTTTAGTTAATGTATTCAAATTTGGAACTGTAAGAACTCCCAAGGAAAATTGAAAACTCCTCTGTAAAGGTCTAAAAATCATCAAAAGATGATGCTGGTTTGAAAGAACCAGTAGAACAGGTGAGGAACTGACTCCATTGCTAATAAAAGAAAGCAAGATATAAGGATGTGAAGGAAAAAAGTCACATATGACTATTGTGAGCAGAAGGGAGACACGTTACAAACAACAGGTAGTCTTAGATGTAATTAGTTGTCAAAGTCTATAGATCATTCCCATTTTTTCTTCAATAACATAAATGCTTCTCCTAAAAACCTTCAACCTGATCTTGATTTAATATCCATCTTAGTTTAGATATTGTTTGCACGTCCTCCAAGACCTCATATGTTGATGTATTAAATGGGTGGAAACTTAATCTGACTATGGTATTTAGAGGTGGGGCTTTGAGAAGTTGATTAGGTTTAGATAAACTCATCAGGGTGGAGCCTGCAGGATTGAATCCCAGTGACTTCATAAAATGAGGGAGCGAGAAGACACATATATACATATACATGTTCCCAGTCTCTTGCTATGTGATGCCTTGTGCTTCCATGGGATTCTGGCAGCAAGATGGCCATCACCAGGTGAGAGCCCTCAATCTTACACCTTCAGAACCCTGAGCCAAACTAGACTTCTTTTGACTTCTTTTCTTCATGATTCATCCAGTCTGTGGTACTGTATTACTGGCAACAGAAAATGAACTAATACAATATCCTAATTACTAATTCATGTTATTGGATTTCCTTTAATGAAAACTTGTTGAGTGAATAAATAAAATGCATTTCTGTTTGAGCACATCTAACTATATTTCCCTTCTGATCTCAATTGAGATTAGAGCACAAAACTAAGGAAAATAGAATGTCTAGGTTCTATTCTTTTATTAATTGCTTCTTTATTCCCCCTTCCTTCTTCTCCATGATTAGAACCCTCAGCTTCTTCTCTTTTCATTCCTACCCTTTCAGCCACACTTATTTCTCCTTCAATAAAATTGCTTGAGAAACTATTTCCTTACTTTCTCTTCAGTATAAATATTCCCTTATATTGAGATTATCTATTTAATAAATGTATACCAATGTATCAAAAGTCCTTGGAAACAAAAGTGTAATGCAGTTCACCAAATGAAATTCCTGAGTAATTTTTCTATTTATGTAGAATTTTAAAATTTGAAGCATAAACTTGTCTGATATGTGAATAAAATACATTATAGCAATTTAAAGATGGTCAAGACAATTGAGAAATCATAAAGGTAATACTTAATAGTAAAATAGAATACTTCCATTTAAAATAAATAAGAATCTCTATTGTTACAGATGTAATAACTAAGATATTTTATCATGTAAAAGCAATTGTGCAGCATGAATGGATTTCAATTATAGGAGAGAATAAACATAGCTGGGCACATGAGTTTTACATTGGCCTCTGGGAAATCAATGCTCTGCAATGTGTTTTGGGTCATATATTTGTAGGGTTTTATATACTTGTTCTTATTTGTCATAGAAAATTATACATAACACATGCTAAATCTTTTCTGGCTTTCTTGGAATTAACTCTACTGTGAATGATTTATAATTTCTATCTTCACAATTTCTGAAAAATAATATGCCAAGATACTTTCTTCTGTTTGTTTGTATACACATAATTTCTTGCTTGATTTAATATCTAGAGGCTGCTGATACACAGAGCATAAGTCCTAATTTGAACCATATCAATTAAACAGTTTGCTATGAATGTCTACTAAAAAAAATCTCACATATTTTCTTTAGAGGATTTCTTCTTGTTGAATATGTCTTATTTGGAAACACCATACTCATGCCTATATTGTTTCAATATATTTTTCACTTTTTTTTGACATTTTGCTCTTTCCAAAATTGGGACAGTACTTACAAGCAGTATAGATGTTTAACATGTATTTTTTCTCTCATTTGAAAGTACATCTTAACAGTTGATGATAGTTACTATCAAAAAATAACAGAAAGGTGATTAGTAAGTAGAATTTAACAGCTAACCATATGGGAATAGAGCATGGATTTTTTAAAGTTGACTTAAAATTATTTTGAAAATATAGGAGCTAGCATTGGATAGATACAAATGTGCATTTATAGGAGTACATGATATTGTATACATGTATATGTGTCATCTATATAGTAATTACTAATGATTTAAAAACCATTCTATTAAGGTATGAGAAACACAAATTTTGTTGATACATTTGATAACTATAACAGATTTATGTTGTCTATATAAGCTATTTATAAATATAATATACGTACCTGTAAATATATATGTAATATAGCATATGTATACACACGTATTAACATTTACAGATTTTTAAAATCGAGCTCAGATAAGTTTGCTGAATTATGATACTTTCTCATTGGCAATTTTATTGGAATGGTAAGATAATTTTCACAGAGTATTTTGTTGGGTTTATACAAGTAATTTCTTTCCTAGTTTCTTATTTTTAAGTATTTTATATAGATGTGAATGGCAGGTTTATTCTTTAGTGACTAATCTGCTGAATGAAAATCTATTAAATCTGCACATGTGACACTATGATAAGCAATATGTATAAACCAAATACTAGTGAATGAACCAAGTGTTTTACACATAGAATAAGATCAGTGATTTTCTTTTAAATTATAATTTCTTCCTACAAGTTACCATACATGATAATTCACCATATATTGAATTTAAGTATGATTGCTACAACATATATCAAAATATGTAGTGTACAAATAAATTTAATTTAAATTTAAGATCTAGTTTGTTTATTAATAAGATGAAACTTTTACCAAAAGACTACACTCTTTGAAATAATTATTATATTAGAATATTCCTGTAATATAAATTTGTATGTAATTGTAAGCATTGTAGTTTGGTTTTACAATTGAGTACATACAAAGTAATAAATCCTAAATATAATAAATGTAAATGAAAATATGATATTATATAAATTTATGTGGGGAGGAATTTTTTGGCTCTAAATATAATGAAAAATTATATTTTTGTCAGAAAATTTTTTCCTCATAAACATATTACATGTACTTTTGTAATGACTTTCTTTCTCCATATCAATATCATAATAAATATTTAGTACTTTCTCAATGTGGGGTATTAGATTCTTAAATAAAGCAATTAAAGTAGAAAGTCAAATATAACATGTGCAAATTATTCCTCCTCAAGTAATAACACACCACTTGCTACCCCAAGTTGCAGTACTGTATGAGAGCTTTATTTTGGTTCTTACCATAAAAGGAAATTTATCTGCTCCTTTCAAATTATAGTTACTTGTTTGGAAACACTGCAGATGACAATTTGTGATATTTCCATTATTTGAAAAACAATTTGAATAGAAGGAAAACTGTTTATATTTCAAATAAACTATCTTAAATATTTGAATATTAAAATTTGCATATGATATATTTCACATCAGAAAAAAAATTGATGCAGAGTTTTGGGCAATTACTGTGAATCCAGCAATTTTTTTTTTTTTTTTTTTTTGATTCTATTGGGAGGACATATCCTTGCACAACAATGTGACTGATGGCTGGGTAGAGATGGAGAGGCTACCAGTTGGTATTAAATGCTGTGTGAAGCTTAGATGCAGTCCATGTAAATTCTACCTGTTACTAAGCCACAGCAAACACAGCATCCTCTTGTTCAGATAACCAAGTGGCCTTGGTTTTCTTTTCTCTTTTTAAACTAACCTGTTCTCTTTCCCACACCCCAGCCTCCCTTCCTTTGTCTCTCTCTCTCCCCCTCTATTTTTAAATTGATCTATTATATGCTTTTCAATATGGTTAAGGTGTTCAACAATACAGTCCTAGTTTCTACTTATTATTCCAATTTGGACAATATAACTTCGTAAAGAAAATAAGCAGTGACCCTATGTGCCTAAAATGATTAGATTGGTTCCAGAAGGGGCAGTAGGAGATTTAAACCTAATAAGGCTACTGCCTCCCCAAAACTTTTTATTTTAAGACTCTTTTTTAAAAATTGGTATATTGTAATTATACATAAGAGTGGAATTCATTGTGCCATATAGATACAGGTACATAATATGTTGATCAATCTCATTTCTCAGTACTTTCCCTTCCCATTTTTCTTCCCCAGATCTGCTTGCCTTATGCCAGTGATCTCCCTTTATTGTTATTATTATTTTAACTAGTCTATTTTATATGTGTGTGTGTGTGTGTGTGTATATATATATATATATATATATATATATATATATATATATATATATACACATACATGTGTGTGTGTATGTGTATGTGTGTGTGTGGTTC